AGAAGCTGACGCGCATGACGATCGCGCAGCTGAAGCAGCAGGTGGCGCGGCCGGACGTGGTCGAGATGCACGACGTCACCTCCCGCGACCCGCTGCTGCTGGTGGCGCTCAAGAGCACGCGCAACACGGTGCCCGTGCCGCGACACTGGTGCTTCAAACGCAAGGTAGGCCGGGTCGTTAGTGGGAGATATCACGATGTTTTAGCATTCCTAGCAGGTTTTTATGTAACCTTGTATCATTACCTAGTTCATGATTCTCATTACAGGGCTTAATCTTACCTAACAGGGATTGCTCAGCTAATTTTGCACAGTGTTTTAGTTCTGACAATGTTTTAATTCTGACAATGTTCACAGCTTAGTTGTTATCAGAATTATAACTTTCCATCTGTCCACACCACAATAATTTTGAATGGCTGCCGTTACCAACAATCCATCCGCTCCCCACCCACAATCATTTGGTTTATGTTGCTGCCGACTCTAACAACCCATCCTTTCGGTACCACAGTACCTTCAGGGTAAACGAGGTATCGAGAAGCCGCCGTTCGACCTGCCCGAGTTCATCAAGAAGACCGGCATCATGGAGATGAGGCAGGCGCTGGCAGAGAAGGAGGAGGCCAAGAACATGAAGGCCAAGATGCGGGAGAAGGTGCGACCCAAGATGGGCAAGATCGATATCGACTACCAGAAACTGCACGACGCATTTTTCAAGTGAGAATTGCGTAATGCATATGTATGATATATCAGCGTAATAATTTGTTCGAATAATGCTATTCTTATAATGGTATGTGGTAGGGAGTTGCAATTTCCACATTGCCTGATGCTTTCTGAGGAGTGAATATAACCATCTGTCTTTAATTACCATGTTGGTCCTTGGGACCGACTTATTGACCCGGTTCTCGCCCTCAGGTGGCAAACCAAGCCGCGTATGACAATCCACGGCGACCTCTACTACGAGGGTAAGGAGTTCGAGACGCGACTCAAAGAGAAGAAGCCGGGTGACCTGTCGGACGACCTGCGCACCGCCCTGGGCATGCCTGTCGGCGCCAGCAGCAACAAGATCCCCCCGCCGTGGCTGATCGCCATGCAGAGGTCAGTGTGGCGAGATGAGATCACCTCGTGCTGACCGACTGACTGATCATGGCCAGGTGGGATGAGTAGTAAAGTAATCTTGGGTGGGATGATGCAAGACGCTAAGTGAAAAAGGTGGCGTGTTCTCTGTAAGCGCCATTAGTGGGCGCTAATCTCGTACCGGGAATGGGTTACTATTCGGAATTTATTTGGAAATGTAATTAAACAATAAGTATGTTGAGATGGGTAGATTATGGTGATATGCTGCAATGATGCCGGGGGCGTGTTGTTTTATTTTGTACTGCTGTCGCTGAACCTTGTTCATCAATCCTATCCTTGTCGAACAAGGCTTGTTCGTCCATTAGTGTCTCTCGGTGCCCCCTCCCCCTCGCGCTGACCTGATCCCCGTCTAACCGCTCGCCTCTCCGCCCGTGACAGGTACGGTCCGCCGCCGAGCTACCCCAACCTGAAGATCCCCGGTCTGAACGCGCCCATACCGGAGGGCTGCAGTTTCGGCTACCACGCCGGCGGCTGGGGCAAGCCGCCGGTGGACGAGCACGGAAAGCCGCTCTACGGAGACGTGTTCGGCGTTCAGAGCAAGGACTTTGACGTGAGTCACGCTGTCGGGGAGGGGGACTAGGGGCTTGTAGGAGAGGAGAGCTGTCGGAGGTGTCGGTTCTGACTAGCACGAGCATGACGTCGATTATAATTCACTGTGGACGGCGATGATTTTGTGTTCGGTTAGAGGATAAAAAATATTGCCGGTCGCCTAGTGTTTTTGCTTTAACTTTTCCCCCAGAACGTCATGTGACTTTATCCATCGGTAATGATGCCTATTTTTGCTTGTTATTAGAAGCTTTGCTCCTACTTGTCGGAAGTTTAAAGTAGCGGAATGGTAAACGAGTAGTCGGCTCAGTGACATGACTCCCCTTCGCCTCCGTCCCTCTTTCCCCGTATCCCAGCGTCCCTCCACCCCTGGCGGCGCCGTGACCCGCTGCCCCCCCCGGCCGACAGAACGCCGCCGGCGACGAGGACGTGGAGCGGACTCTGTGGGGCGAGCTCGAGTCCGAGTCCGAAGAGTCCGAGTCGGAGGAGGAGTCAGAGGAGGAGGAGGGCGAGGGCGTGGAGGAGTCGGGCCTGGTCACCCCGGCCGAGGGACTCATCACGCCCTCGGGGGTGACCAGCATCCCCGCCGGCATGGAAACTCCGGAGATGATCGAGCTCAGGAAGCGCAAGGTCGAGACCGAAATGGAGGGGTGAGTAGCGGCCGTCGCGGGTGACAGTGTCGTTTACTATATCGCTGAGTATCACCTTGAACTATGGGCGTGCCACTGAGAGCTGCCAGTGCAGAGCTGTGCACCGCAGTGCCACGCCCGAGTTTCCGGAGTGTGTCAATGCTCTGCACTGTGCACTTCCTTTGTCGACCTGCCTGTTAGATGAAGTTGCTGATTGTAGTACAGTCAGGAATTTGTAGCACAATGGGGACCCGAGCAAGTTCCGGTGTGTGCAGGAAAATCTATATTTGCATGAAATTTTCAGAGCTACGTTAAATGATGTCATGTTGTCAGTTTAGAACCGAATTATACTATTGACCTTTTTTTGCCGCAGCATTTGCTCGCGCACTGCACATGGCAGGGTATGCGTTCGGTTTATCCACTCTCCACTGTGTTGCGCTTTGAGTCTTCTCACCTCGCCTCTCTCACGCCCTCTCCCGCTGTTCGGACAGAGGCGAGACGCCGTCGCTGTACCAGGTGCTGCCTGAGCGGCGTAACGAGCGTGTCGGCGCCGCCATGATGGCCTCCACACACACCTACGATCTGCCCGGCAAGCGACCGGCCGGCGCGGGCGGTGAGGGCGTCGAGGTGGCGCTGGACCCGTCCGAGCTGGACCTGGTGGACACAGACGCCATGGCGCAGCGCTACGAGGAGCGCATGCGGGAGACCCAGCTAGAGAAGGAGGACCTCAGTGATATGGTGGCCGAGCATGCGGCCAAACAAAAGGTGGGTGTGAGGCCGGGGGGATTGGAGGGATGGGCTGGTGGGTGTGGGGTTGGAGATGTTTATAGAAAGGGGGGGGGGGTGCTTGCCGGCGTGTAAATTGAGAACAGTTGATTTTAAAACGAATGACTCGGCAGTGTCATGGTACTCAAAAGTCAAAATGCTTATGGAAGACGTGATCTACTCCGGGCGCCTTTACCATTGCATCATTGAGCTCAAATTTACAGATGGCATTCAGGTTTGCTGAGTGCCGTTGAAGTTCAATATTCCTCAATCTGTGGGCAAAAGTTGTTTATTTTAGATCGAACAGATAACATGTCCAGCCGGCTGTTTTCTCAACAGAGGTTTAATTAATCTCATATTGCCAATCAGCGCAGTATCACTGGCCCAGACCCAACAAACCATGGCGTGGTACATAAACAGCAACTCGTATTCCAAGCTTTCAGTAATGCAATGCTTTGATTTGACAATCGCCAGTGGCCTCCCTTTCTTCGGTTGTATTAATGACAGGCAGCATTACTTTAACAGCCCGTGATATTGCATGCCGTATTGTCCCTTTTGATTGACGATTGCAATAATCATCTGAGATTGAAGTGTCACTGAACCATTGGAAATGCGCCGCTCCGTAATGAAGCTAATACGTTTCCATGAAAATGATTGGCTCGGGTTGGGGGACGGAGAAGTGGGGGACTGAAGAGGCGGGTCCGCCTTCTTGAGCGGTAGGTGGCGAGGCGAGGGCTCAGTAGGAAAACTATTGGAAGCTGGCGCCTGCTAATTAATTCATACTTTGTTTGAGGATGTCGATGGAACACCGCCCAGACATGTTTACTGCCATCATTTTGTTAATGCTGGAAGTACTCATTAGTGATAATGGGTTGTTATGCTCGCGAAATTTATAAATTTCTTCCCTAACGTGGGTTTGCTCTGTTTCTCAGAACAAACGAAAGCGGCAGCAGGCGCAGCAGGACGACAAAAAGTCCAAGAAGTACAAGGAGTTCAAGTTCTAAGGGACGCGAGTCGTTTGCTGGGGTTCATCGCAGAACACCGATGCCGGTAATATTCCGAGAACATGTATCATGTGCGCACTTTGAGAGGGAGTTTTTCATCCGAGCTGGTCACTGGGTCGCGTCTGCCGTTCGTCCAATACATGTAACGTCAGAGTCGGGTCTTTAAAGTCTTTAACACATATTCAGACACGGATGCCTCTTGCTTGCAGTCTGCCCCCCTCCCCGAATATCCCTAATTCCTCAATAGCACAGCCTTCCTTCCTTCCAGTTCAATTCAACTATTGGTAGGTGTTTAATTGGACTTCCTAACCACATGGGTCACATTTATTCACGATGCACATTGGGATTTGCCTCAGCCATTTATTGTCACTTTTAGCAGCCAAACCTCCTGAAAAGTTAGCCCATGAAACGTGCAATGTAAATGCTTTTACGTTGGAAATTGTCACAGTTTTGCCGTCATCGAAACCCCCTCGAGGAAACGTATGTCGCTGTCCGAAACTTCCCTCTCATGCCCAGGGAATATGTTCTTGGGCTGTTTATCAAATTTAAAGCTTCATATGTTGTTACTTGTTACGCATAACGCTGAAGGCTGTTGCTATTTTTTAACATGATAATTGGTGTGAAGAAAGCAAAAACGAAACAAAAACAAAACGAAAAAATGTTCCAATGCTTGGAACAATATTGCGTGACAGATTGAACCTTGATTACATCATAAAGTGACGTAGTGTCGCATTTTTTTTTTTTATTCTTATCGACACGTAATGGCCGCAAAATCTGACATGTGAGGTGTGACATTGGAGTTAGCTTAACAATTCTACTAAGCTCGAACGTCGTGCCGATCGTATCGACAAATCTCGTTTACCGTATTTCCTGTTTCGGTTTGTTCCTGGGACGCGTTCCTTACCGTCGGAGTGTCTCACAAGTCGAGGTCGTATCACACGTGTATTCGAGTCTGCTTCGTTCCCATGGCGCACACTCAGCAGGACAAGCACTAGCCGGCCACGGCGGCTGTCGATCTCTACATCTGTGCTCAAACAAACAACAAACTGACTTTATGTACGCGGGCTGGTAGCCAGAGAGATCCCGTAGGGAGCTACACCCCAACTGCCCCTCCCCTAAAATCGACTCTGGTGGTCCGCCGACGCCTCCAAGTGCTGAGTAGTGCCAGTATGCCGCACGATAGGCACTCCACTCAGCTAAAACTCACCTACGGACCTGACGCGACTCGACGACTTGGCTCGGCGCTCATACGAGCTAGACCGCTACCGTTCAAGTCCAAGGACGGCTCACGGTCGCCCGGACCAAAGTCCGTCCATCAAGCGTCGTGCTCTCTGGACAGTAGACAATGGACATGGCAGCGGTGCATGCGTGGCTGTCTCGCTGGAGCGGCTGGGACGAACCGCCGTGACAACTGATAGTACGGCGGCGGGCATTGGCGTTCGTCGTGACCATATGTGTCGGGAACTCCCGTTGAGGCGGCGCGTCACTCGTGTCTTACACGGGCCCTTGCATACGACACTCGCTACACGCTCGTTCGGTCCGTTACATGTCGGCGAGAGACTCAAATGTCAGTAATGCATTCACCCCTCTCGGCATCCTGACGCAGCGTGGTAGCAGCTGCGCTGTGCGAAGTTATAAAATTAGCCTCTCATTGGGGCTAAGAACTAGAAGATTATTCAACACAACCGAACAATCTAAGTCAATCCCTCGGCTTTGGTGAAAACACTCGCACATACACTGCATTAAAAAGTAGAGTCCAGTGCAATACACCGCAACAAACGCTAGGCCATCGAAACCAGCCAGCCGGCTTTCTGAATTATCATTCAGAAAGTTGCATAAGCTGAGTCAGTTGGGTATTGCACCCGTGACTCCTCACACACACTATTTGTCTTTGCTCACGGGTTTCTTGGCTGTCACATCTCCAAGTTCCCGCTTCACGACCGCTTCACACTTGCAGGCTCAGCAAGGCTTGCCTCCGCCGTATCTCGGCAAGGTTCGCTCGGTCCGTTACGCCTCGCTCCCGGGTACGGTGTCACTGTCCGGTACTCCGCTGGACACTATGCCTGTCCAGTACTCCACTGAGCACTTTCCTGTCCTGTCCTGTGCTCCGCTGATCGCTGCCCTGTCCGGTACCTGTCCTTGTCCGGTACTCCACTGATCACCATCCGGTCCGGTACCTGTCCGTGTCGGGTACTCCACTGAGCACTGTTCGGTTCGGTACCTGTTTTTGCTCTGTACGCCATAGGGCTGACTTGATCACTGCGTCATCTTGCCTGCGCCCGAGGTCAGGGCTACGTCCACCGTGGACAGGCGGGCACGGAGGCCGTGTAACCCACTACTGCGAGCAGCAGCAGCAGTAACGCGGTGGAGGGATGCGCCGCGCCGACACCGCTGCCCACTGAAATAGAAAGGCGGTGTCAGATGAAGTAGAAAACATGAACAATGGCCTCCACTTTTATTGTTAACAACCCACATTCAGCGGCGGATCCAGGATTTCGTCAAGGGGGGGGGCATACGGCGTTGTGGTGCCCCCTTAAAAATCCACGGCTTTCGGCCACTTACTTAGGGGGATGGTGCCCCTGAGACCTCGGGATGGTGCCCCCTCAGACCCGGGAGAGTGCTCCTTCAGGCCTCGGATTTCGGAATGGTGCCCCCGGAGACCTCGGGATGGTGCCCCCGGAGACAGACTTCGGGATGGTGCCCCCGGAGACTTCGGGATGGTGCCCCCGGAGACAGACTTCGGGATGGTGCCCCCTCTGCCACCGGAGACCTCGGGATGGCGCCCCCGGACCCTCGAGGTGGTGCCCCCTCCGACCTTGGGATGGTGCTCACGGAGAACTCGGGATAGTGCCCCCGGAGAACTCAAGATGGTGCCCCCGCGGGCCTCGGGATGGAAATAGCCCCACCCGAGGTGAGGGACAGAAATGAGCCTCCGGGAGACCCCGAAAACGGTACCCTATTCCGATAGACCTTCTGGATGGTGCCCTCTTAGGAGACCTCTGGGTTGAAGCTCCCGTCGGTGACCTCCGTGATGAATTAAAAAAAAACTCCGTGATGGTTCCCCCGGGAGGCCAAAAGGCGGGGGGGGGGGGGGCATGGCCCTCATTGCCCCCCCTCTAGATCCGCCACTGCCCACATTTTCTTTTCTTTTATAATCTTTAGGTGTATTAGAATACGACAGACGACGCATTAAACGCTCGATTTGAATCCAGCAAAATTGAGTTTTCTCACATGACTATTGATCATCGTGTGTCAAACTATTGACAAGCTAGCTTGTCGCTGTTTTCTCCACATCACCGCTGTTTCTGAGGCAGCCTTTACCCGGCTACTGGCTATCTTCTCGAATGAATGCAGTTAGTGACCGCATAACGGTCGGGGCCGGGCAGCCGATCGTTCTCTGTCACCGTGTTTATAGTCACGCCCAGGCTACCCCGGTCAGGGACAGGAGCTGGCTGCCGACGGGGTACAGCGCCGCCCGGACGGAGGACACTTTGAGAAAGGGGCGGCGAAATGTGGGCTGGTGGAGCCGGGTAGTGAGGATGGGGAACCGGTAGTTATAACCCGGAAACCTAAAAACAATGGCGGAGATGGTTTTCACATAGGCCAACTATTTATGGAACTGTGATTCCAGCACACAATATTTATGAACGTACCCCCAAACTTCCTACTCGTGTCTCGTAACATCAACATGAACCGGGTCTGATAAGTTTTATCAATCCCAAATTCGCCCGGCTGGCCTCAAACCTGTCACCATGCCGTCACCTCCTCTGCTCCGTACCCAGTATGGAGGTCGTGTTTGTGTAGAGCGTCTCCGTCGTGCGGCCGTCGCCGCCGGGGGGTCGCTGCCGAGACTCGTACTCGGAGATGTTCCTGGAGACGATCGACGTGCAGGAGACTTTGACCGGTCCGCTGCTGTGAATGGAGCACGCCGGTCAGAGAGACCACGCCCCCACTCCGCCACCCCTCCCCTGAACGAACCTCCGCACCCCGCCCCCTAATTGAGACGAACCGAACACCGCATCCTCCCCCTGACTGAATTGAGCCGCCCTACGCGTCCCCTCCCTCCCGCCTGAGACGAGCCGCCCCCGCGCCCCCATGGAGACGGATCGCTCAGCTCAACAACATTGCCGCCAGGGAACCACCCAACTCGAGTAATATGAGGCTGCGACAGTGCATTGTTATTCGAGACGCTTATTAGCGCGCTATCAACCCGAGCGGTCTGACAGATGATCCGCCGGTTTAGGGTGACTGCCGACTGTTTCGAGGAGGGGGTTACCTCAGCAGCGTGGGCCGCAGGTGCAGGCGGAGGCCCAGAGTGGCAGTCTGCAGACCTTCATCGTCCTCCTCCAGGGGATACGGGGTCAGCAGGTCACCAGTTATCTGTTGGAGGGTACAGGGTCAGGTCACCAGTTGGTAGGGAATTAGTTCATTAGAGATCTGTCGGTGCGGGGTCATAAGGTCACTCGTGATCTGCCGAAATATACCGTCGGGTGCTCAGTGCCCACGTGTCATCGCCTGTACAGACGGGCTATAAAATAGACACAGTGTGCGTTACAGATCGGCTCAAATATAGCATGTGATACATACAGACCGCTTCACACGGCGCGCATAAAGCTCATCGTTTGGCGGTTGCGGTGCCTTCCATACCACCCATACCTACGGCTGTCGCGCACCGCGCGGCCCTCCGTCTCGACGGCTCTATTAGTCCCTTACCAGCCGGCCGTGGACGGCCCAGTGGAGCCGCGCCGCTGGGTACGACTTGGCCGACGTACAGTTGAGCTGCAGCGTGTCCCCGGGCGCCCAGTGGTCCTCCTCGAACCCCGAGATGACCGGGTCTGACTCGGGTGGCGCTGGGGATTGGAAGGGGCTGGGTCAGCACTCAGCAGCCTACTTGACCCTCGTGTTGTCAGCGGAGAACAGCGGGGTCGCATATCCGGCAGCGCTGCGACTACATTATTGCTTTGCAATGCTACTCCACGGATGCTATTGCTGTCAATGGTCTCCCAGTGTTCTGGTACGCTCGCTCCCCTTATAACTGCGCCGCTCAGACCGGCTGACGATATGAGCCTTGTGCTCAACACCGGCACGTGCTCCCTCCCGCCCCCCCCTCTCTCTCTCTTTCTCTCTCTCTCTCTCTCCTCTCTCTCTCTCTCTCTCTCTCTCTCTCTCTCTCTCTCTCTCGCTCTCTCTCACCTACGACCAGCATGTTTGTCGTCTCGGTGACCGATGCGAAGACGGGCGCCTCTGTGTTGACCTTACAGCGGTACTGACCGCTGCTGAAAACCGACAGCGAGGTGAGCGTCACCCGCACATCGTCCGACTCCTTCACCTGGGGACAGAGGTCACAGGGGTCAGATTAGGTCAGACTCCTTCACCTGAGGACAGAGGTCAGAGTTTAGACTCCTTCACCTGGGGACAGAGGTCACAGAGGTCAGACTCCTTCACTAGGGGACAGAGGTCAGAGTTCAGACTCCTTCACCTGGGGACAGAGGTCACAGGGGTCAGACTCCTTCACCTGGGGACAGAGGTCTCAGGGGTCAGACTTCTTCACCTGGGGAGGGGGTCAGAGGTCAGACTCCTTCACCTGGGAAGGGGGACAGAGGTCAGACTCCTTCACCTGGGGAGGAGGGCGGAGGTCAGATGCCAGACTCCTTCACCTGGGGAGCAGGGCAAAGGTCAGACTCGGTCAGACTCCTCATGAGTCAAAGCTCAGACTTCTTCACATGGGCAGATGTCAGACTCCTTAGCCTTTGAGTACGTGGATCAGAGGTCAGACTCCCCTTAGCACTTAGCAGTACGGCTACAATACAAGGCATGAATATTGAAGCATTGATCAATGCACTTTTTACCCTTGTACGTCATTTAAGGGGCACACCAATCTAAAACTCGCTCCCCTCGGCTCGGCGTGCCGGCCGTATCCGGTCCACAACAAAAGCCGCCGCCTCCCTCGCCAGTGACCGTTACACCCCCCGGGTAATGCCGCCACCCGGGCCTCATGACACAAGACGCATGCACGGCGCTCATGCACACCTCGCGACTGTGCAGTGCACAGGCTCGCTGTTGCATGAACAGCTACTATAACGGAACCCTTAGAAAACCCTACATGAAGTAGGCATCTATCTCAGTGACACACGAATCAATGCCGTGCGCTGGAGTGGGACAGACGGCGGGTCATAACAAACTCGGGGCCGAGGCGCGCTGCGCGAGCCGGCCATAAACCTGTCTGAGGGCAGGCGCGCGGGCGCCGACACCGGAACCGGCCAACTAATGAATCAGCCACTCGGGGTGCCGGTAATGGCCCGGCTGGTGATACCGGCGCGTGCCGAGAGGCCATGCGCACCCCCTGCCCGGTCACTGGGGCGGCTACCGAGCGCCCATGGAGCGTCCACAGACTACGAGTAAGCCCTCGATGTGACCGCGATCGGTCGGGAAGTTCCCATGGCTAGCTGTGGGATGTTTACGAGGGATCAGCTTACATGTGCGGTCAACCATGCGATGAGCCTGACCTGGTTGCCACACGAGGTGCTGGCCTGGGGGGGGGGGGGACGATGGATGGCACTGATGGAGGTGTCAATACTCGTAGAGGTGGATTACATAACATGACCCGTTGGGTCTTACCCCTTTCCCTTGAGTCGCTGGCATTAGGACTGGTTACTCATGTTTACACTATTCCGGGCCTTTCAAGGGAAGTGCTCTGGGCTGGTTACTCACGTTCACACTGGTGCGGGCCACTCAAGGAAGTGCTGTGGGTGGGCTGGTTAGGTACTCACGTTCACATTGATGCCGGCCACTCCTGGGAAGGTAGTCTTGGGCTTGCGCGCGGTGGGCAGGAAGCGATAGAACTCTGTGTCGTCCTTGTACCAGGCGACGCTGTAGAGGTCGTCGCCTTCGACGTCATACCGACAGCGCAGGGTGGCCGTCTGCCCGCGCTGACGCAACGCCGGCACCTCCAGCGAGGACAGGCGCAGCGACCAGCAGCCTGCGCCACAGAGAAGGGTCATAGGCAGCAGAGTTGTAGTAGGTACAGACATCACGCCAGGTATTCGTCTAACGTGGTAACTAGGGGGGACGGCGAACCCCGCAGTCATCGATCGGGACCCCGCAGCGAAGGTGAAAACGTTAATCGAGGGGTGGGGGCATCCTCACCGAAGAGGCATAAATATCGCCATTAACACATTGCTAATTAAAATAAAACGAACTTGAGACTCGTCCCCTTGGAGAAATTTGTTGGACGAGCCTCTGCGTCGCGCCGCGAGCTAGACGGCAAAAAGCCCTACAAGTTCTCTACATACCGTGGCCGTCCTACATATACATAGGCAGTATTTAAGAGACATTTGCGCCCGTCCCCCATTGCTTTACATGTAACGGTGAGGATCGAGGTCACGTAAATACGAATCGAGAAAAGCGCTAAACTTGGCTCGTTGACACCCAGTTCATGTTTCCATTGGTAAAGGCAGGGCTGAGGGCCTTATAACCATATAACCGGTAAAGGTACCCAAAACAAAATCAATAGCTTGGTCGGTTAATCCAGCAGAGTTTGCTTGTGCAACGCTGGCAGGTCCCATAATCTATTGACAGTTTAATAGCCAAATGTGCTTAATGTTTATGAATGGCCCATCTTCGGATACAGGCAACGAATGTGGCCGTTTGTCTTTACTTAATAACAACCTTCGCTTGGTGTTCCCATTATGTGAACATTTCAGGAAAACTAGGTATATTTCGCCTCGCCTGCCCCCTATCATATACGTTTCCTATTTGGTTCGTTCGCTAGGACACCTTTCCCACATTCAGCTAAGGGAAGCCGAAGACCTCGTCACCTCATTAAGTTGCCGGCTGATGACATAAATATATATAAAGAGCTGTGATGTCAAGCCGGGCGATACCTATGTGTATGGCTGACCCTCGGCATGGCCAGTCCAGTGAGCCAGTCACGTGCTACCAAGCATTCATGCGCTCTAACATCATGGTCCCCTAATATCTCTATTCTCTAATATGTGTGAGTGTGTGTCGCCTCATACACAGCACCTATGCCGAGCCGCTATCATACTTACAATTGTGGCGCAATGTGCATTGCAATGTGCGGTAGTGGCGGAACACCCTCAATTAGGGGGGGGGGCACTGTCGACTTTTGGTTTGTCCATGCAACGCCCATAGGGCTAATGTTAAAATGCAAAAATCAAAGGGGGGGCACAGTGCCCCGGTGCCCTCCCCGTTCCGCCGCCTATGGCAATGTGCATACCTGCTTTGGTTTGCGCTTTGTAGTTTGTGTCGAGGTCCTGCGTACTTGCAATTAGGCGATTCATAAACAAACCATTGGATGACCTCGGGAGGTCCACAGCAATGGATATTGGACAGTCTGGAAACGTCATGTGGGGAGGCGGGAGCAGCGAGCAAGACATTGTCCTTATGCTGCAGCACACGACGAGCAGAGATAAATCAGACGATATGTAGTGTGCGCTGGTCACTTTCATTGGAATAAATCGGGCAATGACAAGTGTTAGCCTGTATTTAGGGTCTTGTGTTAGCTTGTGTTAGCCTTAGAAAATGACTACTCCGGTTAATAAATAAAGATATTTTAAGGACAATAAAGCCACCGCTTAATAAATCCAAAACGTCGCGTTACCAAGGTGGATTTATGAAGTGGATTCTGCTGTATATTCCACACGTCGCATGGACCCGTACCTTTCATGTTTACAGCTCAACCAACAAGTGTGCACAATACACGTATAACTCGCAGATGCACATTGAAGGATTTCCCTCCTGCTCCGGCTAGGTCACACAATTTGGGCAGGCCCGGACCAAGGCGCCGGTGACGGGATGCCGGAGATAGGCTGCACAGAGCCGGATAGACAGAACCCCGTTCCCAGCAACTGACGCAGCAGCGGCTCATCCTTAAAATCAGAGCTTAAAATACGCACCCGCGCCGAGTGAGCTGGTGCAAAATGTAGTAGGTCATGGACGGTGCGGTAATGTACCGGGTGAGCTCCTGTATGGCGCTAATGACTACACACAGCAAGAGCCAAGAGGTCAAACTATGACCCATGGCTCTAAACGGTCAAAAAGTCGCATAATGCTGTAGGTATCCATACCGATCAAACCTCACCGATTTACACGAACATGAGCCTTTTTATCCGAAACGGCTCCTGCGTCCCGGGGGGGGGGGGGGGCGAAACGGCCCCCTTCTCCTTTTCAGTCTATATCTCCCAAAGTAGGTATAAAGCAGATATTTTTTATATAAATTTAGTCCGAACCTTTTGATAGGAAGGATTTACAAGGACAGAGCCATCGCTAAGCGAAGCTTGTTGCGGTAACCCTGCCCTCCACCTTCCCATCGCGCAATTCCAGTTCTATGGCAGAATTTAGAGTCCAAAGTTTAACGTGCGCACAAGGTTGAAGGTAGTCTTCAAGTGGCGCTATTGCATGCCTTTTGAAATGTCAAAATCAGTCGGTAACTTTCCGAGATCTAAGGGGGAGGGGGGGGGGGGCGAAACGCCCCCTCCCCCAACGGGTGGTAGGGTCCGCACTCCGCCTGCAGCCCAACGGGGGCGCGTGTTAACTGCGAGAAGACATATGTAAGCGTTTACTACACTAACACGAACCACGAATCTATGATAATGAATGAAACTGCTTTGATTTCATATGACGATATATCTGCAGTGACCACGAAAGTATAAATAACAACCAACACCCAACAGAACGTATTACGTCTAACAGCGGGGTGCGTACGCCATGTAAATTTGAGTTCCGCTGGCAGAACGTTCCGATCAGTGACATTGACAGTACCTAACTACATATATAAAGCATGACATGTCCTAACGGAACAGCACGGTCCTTCCGAGGCAGGAGGTAAATCCGCGCCCCGTCGGCGCCACCTGAGCGGACACCTCATCGTCGGACGAGCCACGCCGCCTCCAAGGCCACGCCCGCCTGCACCCGGTGGCGACCCAGAATCGCGCGGCGCGGCCGACAGACGCGACGGCTCCGGCCACGGGCACTGCCTCAGGTGCGTCCCCTGGCATCAGCCCAACGTCAACAGCACCCCAGGGCCGCCCTACTGACCCGGCTACACACGTCACTCCCGCCGACCGTCACCGTGGAGCCCGCGGTCACACCGCTAAACCGGTTAGCGAGATCGTGGACAAGAAACCTTTTATCATTTCGTGACCGGGAATAAGTTTTTAGGTCTTACCATCTTACGACCTCTATTCCACCTCCCGCATCCGACGAGCAGGCGCCGGGTACTCACCGGGAATGCAAAGGAGTCCAGCAAGCAGCAGCGCCGCGCCTCGCATGGCGGCGGCACCTCGGGCACCTTGAAGCACCACCGTCCGCTGCTCGAGCTACACTGGCGAGACCGGACTCCGCCGCCCGCGCCCCCGCGGCCGGCCGGCGCGGCGGGGCGGGGCTGGACCGATTAGGTTGCCCGGCTCACCTCACGGCTCACTCCACAGGGAAAATAATAACAAAAAGATGCAAACACGATTCCAAGAGCGCCGTACGGTGGTCTCGATGACGAAGCACGAACTCAGTGCCTCCATTTCGCATATAGTTCACATTTGTAGGTATAGGTATTGTTGTGTTTGTGAGGACTGAAGAAGATATACACAGTCAGGGGCGGATCCAGGAAAACTCCAAGGGGAGGGTCATGAATCGAAGTGGTGCCCCTACCTATACCCAAAATTAAAAACTCAACGGATTTCGTCCACTTCATTTTGGTGGTGCCTCCATTTTCAGTTTTTTATTTTTATTTTTTATTTTTAGTCAGTATCTTACCTCTTAGCCACAACCACATTTACCAATTGTAAGCAAGTATATATGAATGTGCTATGTGTACAGGGGTGGGCAGATAAGTTGGGACAAATTTCAACTTCCTCTAAAACGACTATTTTTTGAGTGATTAAGATAACTTTTGAACATGAATATAGGCTAACGAATACTTTTCCATGCTATGCAGGTTGCGTTGTAATTTTGAGTCGGCTGGTCACAGAACGTGGACTTAAGCAAGTAGTCACTATCAACTTAATCCGCGCGCACATGCATGCCAATACTCTAATTATGCTCCATCAAATGGCTGAAAGTAGTGTGTATCGAACAGACGTAAACGTTGGAGGAAGAGAAGATGTTGAATCATCCTTACATACTTATTGCATTGACACCGGCCGCTCCCCCGGTTTTCCAGGGGGGCTAAAAGGCAAAATTCAGTTAAATCAGAGGATCCTCGCGAAAACAGTGGCGCGAGCTTACAACGAAGGTTACCGCGCCATGAGAAAGCGATATACCAGCACCTCAAACATGTACTCTTATGCATTGATGCATATCAACCTGTTATCATAGATGTTGAAGCCGCTGTGACGTTAAAAAGATCGTTTCCTCTTGAAGGGCTTGGAGAAGCGAGCAAGCACACGTGCAGGTCTTTTTCGACGATGGTATCCCCATAACCGAACATATGAACAACCGCAAACACCATGAAACATCGCAACCAGCCCAGAAGACGTGATCTTAGTTCCAAAAAGCATGCAGCAGAGCTCGGTGATGGCATTCCACTCGGTGACTTCTGACGGCCACGTGGGGCCCCCTTATTTTACGGAATCGGGAGGGGGTTCGCCATTACAGCGTACCTAACCATTATTCCGGCAGTTCGAATCAACAAGCTGGAAGAAGGCAACATTCTGCATGGAGTGATGCTCTTCGAGGAGACGTCTGTATACTTAGCGAATTATTGACATTGACGTTCAGCGACAGATTCGCGGACCCCTAGGAATCCGCTGAAAATCCCTATATAGGGGTAACTAGGGGCGTAGAGTCGCGTGGTGCAATCCGTTAAACCCTACACCTAATACTTTTCCCGCTACAGGGCAGCAAAGTTCCAGCGACAGATTCGCCGGACCCCTAGGATTCCGCTGAAAATCCCTACATAGGGGTAACTTGGGGCGTAGAGTCGCGTGGTGCAATCCGTTAAACCCTACACCTAATACTTTTCCCGCTAGAGGGCAGCAAAGTTCCAGCGACAGATTCGCCGGACCCCTAGGAATCCGCTGAAAATCCCTATATAGGGGTAACTTGGGGCGTAGAGTCGCGTGGTGCAATCCGTTAAACCCTACATCTAATACTTTTCCCGCTAGAGGGCAGCAAAGTTCCAGCGACAGATTCGCCGGACCCCTAGGATTCCGCTGAAAATCCCTACATAGGCGTAACTTGGGGCGTAGAGTCGCGTGGTGCAATCCGTTAAACCCTACACCTAATACTTTTCCCGCTAGAGGGCAGCAAAGTTCCAGCGACAGATTCGCCGGACCACTAGGATTCCGCTGAAATAGGGGTAACTTGGTCGCCGGACCCCTGGGATTCCGCTGAAAATCACTACATAGGGGTAACTTGGGGCGTAGAGTCGCGTGGTGCAATCCGTTAAACCCTACACCTTATACTTTTCCCGCTAGAGGGCAGCAAAGTTCCAGCGACAGATTCGCCGGACCCCTAGGATTCCGCTGAAAATCCCTACATAGGGGTAACTTGGGGCGTAGAGTCGCCTGGTGCAATCCGTTAAACCCTACACCTAATACTTTTCCCGCTAGAGGGCAGCAAAGTTCCAGCGACAGATTCGCCGGACCCCTAGGATTCCGCTGAAAATCCCTATATAGGGGTAACTTGGGGCGTAGAGTCGCGTGGTGCAATCCGTTAAACCCTACACCTAATACTTTTCCCGCTAGAGGGCAGCAAATTTCCAGCGACAGATTCGCCGGACCCCTAGGATTCCGCTGAAAATCTCTACATAGGGGTAACTTGGGGCGTAGAGTCGCGTGGTGCAATCCGTTAAACCCTACACCCAATACTTTTCCCGCTAGAGGGCAGCAAAGTTCCAGCGACAGATTCGCCGGACCCCTAGGAATCCGCTGAAAATCCCTATATAGGGGTAACTTGGGGCGTAGAGTCGCGTTGTGCAATCCGTTAAACCCTACATCTAATACTTTTCCCGCTAGAGGGCAGCAAAGTTCCAGCGACAGATTCGTCGGACCCCTAGGATTCCGCTGAAAATCCCTAAATAGGAGTAACTTGGGGCGTAGAGTCGCGTGGTGCAATCCGTTAAACCCTACACCTTATACTTTTCCCGCTAGAGGGCAGCAAAGTTCCAGCGACAGATTCGCCGGACCCCTAGGATTCCGCTGAAAATCCCTACATAGGGGTAACTTGGGGCGTAGAGTCGCGTGGTGCAATCCGTTAAACCCTACACCTAATACTTTTCCCCGCTAGAGGGCAGCAAAGTTCCAGCGACAGATTCGCCGGACCCCTAGGAATCCGCTGAAAATCCCTATATAGGGGTAACTTGGGGCGTAGAGTCGCGTGGTGCAATCCGTTAAACCCTACATATAATACTTTTCTCGCTAGAGGGCAGCAAAGTTCCAGCGACAGATTCGCCGGACCCCTAGGATTCCGATGAAAATCCCTACATAGGCGTAACTTGGGGCGTAAAGTCGCGTGGTGCAATCCGTTAAACCCTACACCTAATACTTTTCCCGCTAGAGGGCAGCAAAGTTCCAGCGACAGATTCGCCGGACCACTAGGATTCCGCTGAAATAGGGGTAACTTGGTCGCCGGACCCCTGGGATTCCGCTGAAAATCACTACATAGGAGTAACTTGGGGCGTAGAGTCGCGTGGTCCAATCCGTTAAACCCTACACCTTATACTTTTCCCGCTAGAGGGCAGCAAAGTTCCAGCGACAGATTCGCCGGACCCCTAGGATTCCGCTGAAAATCCCTACATAGGGGTAACTTGGGGCGTAGAGTCGCGTGGTGCAACTCGTTAAACCCTACACCTAATACTTTTCCCGCTAGAGGGCAGCAAAATTCCAGCGACAGATTCGCCGGACCCCTAGGATTCCGCTGAAAATCCCTTCATAGGCGTAACTTGGGGCGTAGAGTCGCGTGGTGCAATCCGTTAAACCCTACACCTAATACTTTTCCCGCTAGAGGGCAGCAAAGTTCCAGCGACAGATTCGCCGGACCACTAGGATTCCGCTGAAATAGGGGTAACTTGGTCGCCGGACCCCTGGGATTCCGCTGAAAATCACTACATAGGGGTAACTTGGGGCGTAGAGTCGCGTGGTGCAATCCGTTAAACCCTACACCTTATACTTTTCCCGCTAGAGGGCAGCAAAGTTCCAGCGACAGATTCGCCGGACCCCTAGGATTCCGCTGAAAATCCCTACATAGGGGTAACTTGGGGCGTAGAGTC